GGTCAAATAGTTGGTCTACTTTGAGTTCTTTGTGGTGTCTCCATACTACTTTGCACAGAGGTTGTGTTAGTTTGCAGTTCCCCCAACAGTGTATAAGTGTTCATTTTTCTCCACATCCATGACAGCATCGGTTGTTTCGGGGATTTTTTATAAAAGCCATTCTCACTGGTTTTATGTGATATCTCATTGTGGTTTTGATTTGCATTTCCCTGATGATCAGAGATGCTGACCATGTGTTTATTGGACATTAGTATATCTTCATTTGAAAAGTTTCTGCTCATGTCTTTTGCCCACGTTTTAATGCAGGTGTCCTCAAGGGTCACATGCGGCCTGCCTAGGACATTTATCTGGCCCGCTGGGTGTTTTTGCTGCAGCTACCTGTCCTGCTTAGCAGCTGAGTTGTCCTGGGGACTGCAGTCCGGCCCTCCAGTGGTCTGAGGGACAGTGAACTGGCCCCCTGTTTAAAAAGTTTGAGGATCCCTGTTTAATGGGATTTTTTTTTCTTGCCGATTTGCATGAGTCAGATGCTGGTTATCAGCCTTTTATCAGGTGTATAGCATGCAAGTATTTCCTTCCATTCTGTATGTTTTCTGTTTGTTCTATTGATTGTGTCCTTGGCTGTGTAGAAGCTTTTTAATTTTAGTGGGTCCCATTTACTTATTTTTATTGTTGCTATGATTGCTTTTGGGGTTTCCTTCATAAATTCTTTGCCTAGGCCAATATCTGTAAGAGTTTTTCTGTTCCTTTAATTTAGAATTCTTATAGTTTCATGCCTTAGGTTTAAGTCTGTTATCCATTGTGAATTTTGTGAGTGGTAAGGGAGTAGATCCTTTTTCAGTTTTCTACTTGTGGTTATCTACTTTTCCCAGCACTTTTTATTGAATAGGGAATATTTTCCCCAGTATATGATTTTGTCTGCTGTGTCAAAGATCTGGTGCAAATATGAGGATTGTTTCATATCTGGGTTCTCTGTTAAGAAGTGTACATCTATGTCTCATGCCAGTACCATGCTGTTTTGGTTACTATAGCCTTGTAGTATAGTTTGAAGTCTGGTATTGTGATGCCTCCCAATTTTTTTTCATTGCATAAGGTAGCATTGGCTATCTGGGAGCTTTTTCTGGCTTCATATGAAGTATAGAACTATTTTTTAAAGATATGCAGAAAATAATGTTAGTATTATGAAGAAGATTGCATTGCATTTGTAAATCACTTTGCAAAGCACAGGCATTTTAACAGTGTTAATTCTGCTGATCCATGAGCAGGATATGTTTTTTCATTTGTTTACGTCCTCTGCATTTCCTTCCTTAGTGATTTGTAGTTCTCCCTATAAAGGTCTTTTACCTCTTTAGTTAAATATTTTCCTAGGTATCTTATTTTCTTTGTTGCTATAGTGAATGGTATTGTGTCTTTGATTTGACTCTCAGTTTGACTACTACAATGTTATGGAATAGTTTCTGCAGTATAGGTACCAGTTCTTATAGTGTTGCAAAATTCAGGTGTGAAACTGGTCTGGGCCTTTTTGTTTTAGAGGATATTTTATTGCTGCTTCAATTTTAGTAGTTGATACTGGTCTATTTAGCTGGACCACGGGCACAATCTATTTCTTCCTGATTGAGCGTAGGGAGGTTGTGTGTTTCCAAGAATTTGTCCATATTCTCCAGGTTTTTAAGTTTATGAGAGCACAGAAATTTTTATAGTATTCAGAGATAATATTTTATATTTCTGTGATATCTCCTTTTTCATTTCTGATGGAGATTATTAGAGTCCTGTCTTTCCTTCTTTTGACAAGAACCCTGTCAATTTTGTTTATCTTTTCAAAGAGACAATTTTTTGTTTCTTTAATCCTCTGTGTAATTCAATTTAATTTAACTCTGCTCCAATATTGTTATTTCTTTTCTTCTGTTGGGTTTGGGATTGGTTTGCTCTACTTTTTCCAGTTCTTTGAGATGATTCATTATATTGTTGATTTGTGAACCTTCTGTCTTTTGGATGTGGGCATTTAAGTCTATGAATTTTCATCTCAGGACTACAAAATCCCACAGATTTTGTCATCTCTTAGTCTAAAACTCAGGCCAAATCTTAATGAAATAGATTTTTTATATTCTTTCCCCTTTTTTCCTTCCCTCCTTCCTCCTTCCCTCCCTCCCTTCCTTTTTTCTCCTTAATTAGGAATCACATTTCATTTGATATACAACTGATTGTTGTGATGGAATGTTCCCTCCCTCCCTCCCTTCTTACCTTTCTCCCTCTTTTTTCTTTCCTTTTTTATATTGTCTTGCTCTATTGCCCAGTCTAGAGTGTCAGTGGCATCTCATTTTTCTTTAAACATGAGATGGAGAGAGGAGGTGGTATGGGTGTCAGTGGCATCTCATTTTTCTTTAAACATGAGATGGAGAGAGGAGGTGGTATGGGTGAGGTGACCCTACACCAGAAATAGGAATCAATGACCTATCTTGTTCCACCTTCTCCCCATGCCCCATATGCTGGTAGAATTTATACTGGGAATGATTAAAGCTCAGAAAGATGGTTCTCTGAGATTCCTCCAAGGAAGGAAGAGGGAGTAGAACCAAAGTATTAGCAGGACTGTGGTGGGAGTGACAAATACTTTCCCTAGCTTATTACTTTGTTTTTTAATTTTATGACTATTTGACCTAAATGTTTTAAATGTTCTCTCTTTTTTGATTTTATTCAGAATTTGTCATTTTGATTTTATTCAGAATTTCTACCATTTTTTTTTTTTTTTTTTTT